CCAAAAGGTGGTGTTCTTTAAACTTCTTCTCAAAGGGTGAAAAATGAACTTAATAAATGAGTTGTTTCCTCAAAAGACATATTCACAAAATGCATTCTTTTATTTGTCTAGGCATTTTTCCTTAAAAAATGCATTCACTAAATGCATTGTCTAAAAGACACATTTAGTTGTTTCAAAACTCTCACTATTTGGGAACTCTTTCTGAAATGTACCCCTGTTTGAGAATTTTCTTTCCGAAAAGGCAATAGGCGAACTGTACTCCTCTATCTCCTTTCCTTTCCTTTTTTCACTAGGATGTTTTCATTTCTTTTCCTTCCCTTGAATCCAAATGGATCCTAATAGGGCACTATTTACTGCACCTTAATAATTTGATTAAGTATGAGGTTCCTATTTTTGTATTATTGTTCATGTATACGAATCTGTCTATGTTCATGTTTTCCATCTAATCTTATCAGTGATAAAGGTAGACTGTGAATTTGTATTCGAAGAAACAGAAAGAAGAACAGAAAAAAGGAAAGGGATTGGCTTCCTTAACTGAATCAAGCTTCTAAAGTCCGTGGTTTACATAATTTTCATTCTGCATGTTACCATATTCAATAGGAAGAAGCAGCATAGTCTTAAAAATGAAAAGGATGGAAAATCTCAGACAGATTGTGCCATGCATGGATCACAAATCAACTTCCTATAACATGCAATAATGTTCATGTCCTCGATGATTGATGTTATGAAAGTGTGGTTTTAGGCCTTGAAGGAAGGAAAGAGAGAGACAGTGCAGCTAGCAACCAAATTTGCATTCACTTATGAGGGTGGGCAGTTTGGTATACGTGGTGATCCAGACTATGTGAGAGCTGCATGTGAAGGCAGCTTGAAGCGGCTTGGTTTGGATTGCATTGATCTCTATTATCAGCATCGCATTGATACAAATGTGCCCATTGAAGCCACGGTTTGTTCCATTTTACCTTTCTTGTTTTAAATCTCCATCTCATTCTTAATAAAATGAACGTTTGATCAACTTCAAATTTAGGCATACAACTGCTTTTCATGTCCTTTGCAATTGCTTAAAAAATACCAAAAAAAAAATTCTTAAAAAATGCAATTGGTGTGCTATACATGTTGATCTATCATTAAGGTAAAGCTTATTTAGCACCAGCATCTCAAAAATAAAAAGAACCAAACTATTAGTCTTGTAAGCATAAAAATTGTAGCTTGACAGCCCTGCAGAGGGAGTTACCAATGGATATGACATGCTATAGATTGCTATAGATTCTATGGCTTTCCTTTAGAGCCAGAAGACCTGTGCATTCTCTTTCATTTGAAATTTGTAATCCGGTTGAGTAATCATATGCAAATTTATACACCTTGTCAGTTGTCAGTTGCCACATCTTTTAATTCAGTGCATAAAGCAGCAGATTGGTACTCAGTTTTTATCAAATTGAAGTTTCTATGGAATGATTTATAGAAGTTCTTTTCCTAGTGTAGCTAGCAAAACATATTTTGCTGTTCTTGAGTAGTAGGAAGAAATTTTCTTATCATACAATCACTCAAAATACAGGTAAGTTTGAATGAGATCAAGCAAAATTGACGATTGGCAATTGATATGTGCAGCCATTAGTCTGTTTAGAAGAAGTCAAGAAAATTGTATAATGTTGTATAATGTGGTATAACGATATCAGAGCTAAGTCAACCAGTGAGTTAATAACATCATCATCTAGAGAAGTATATTCGCTGCTTGTTGCCACTTTTGTCAAGTAGTGCTTTGAGCTTCATGTATACTTTGTCAAAATTGTGCTGCTGCACTGAACTAGTGCTACTTTTCGTATATGGATGTATAATTTTGATTCTCTACCTTCGTATGGAATTTAATAAATCAGCTTGGAATTTTCTCGTCCATTAAAAATTCTATTTTGCCCAGGTAGGAGAACTTAAGAAATTGGTTGAAGAGGGTAAAATAAAGTATATAGGTCTGTCTGAGGCCTCAGCTTCAACAATTCGAAGAGCACATGCTGTTCATCCAATAACAGCTGTACAGTTGGAGTGGTCATTGTGGACCAGAGATGTCGAGGAAGAGATTATTCCCACTTGCAGGTAGTGCATTTATTCTGCTTCATTTTCTACATGGTCTGGAAAAAATATGAAGTTCTAAGTTCATTTTGGTGTAATCTTGTAGAGAGCTTGGAATAGGGATTGTTGCATACAGTCCACTTGGAAGAGGATTCTTCTCTTCAGGTCCAAAGCTGGTTGAGAATTTGACTGACGATGACTACCGAAAGGTTTGTGATTATCCAAAAAGATTAGTAGTTCCTAGTGTAGTATAGTCAGTTGCAATCTTTCTCAATATCCATATTCTTATCTATCTGTTACATGTTGCTGCACTATTTGATGTCCAATAATTTGGTGGAACTTCTCTAAAACTATATAATATAATTAACTTCTATCCAACAGAGCGACTAAACAAGCTTTTTTCTATTTGACAAGTCTTGTAGTCTTGGATTCCAATAAATGCAGTTTTTGGGATTGTTAGAAACTGAACCTTTTGTAGAGACAGGATAGAAATTGTGTGCTCTGTTTTTTGTTCGAATTTAAAGATAGCACTAGCATTATCAACTATCATGAGCAGTGGCTGTGTTCTATTTTATGGTGCAAAAATATCCTGGACATGAAAAAGGCAAAAGGTAAGACACTATAGCATTTTTTAATAATAGTCTCTGCAATTTTGAGGAGAAATGGACTTTCATTTCAATGTCATCGTCTGGTCTAGGGCACAGAAGTTATACATTGTCCTTTCAAATTGCTATTTTCCCTTTTCCATACATCCTTTAAATGAGTTTCGTTGGTCCCAAGTTCACTTGATAATATTGTCCTGATAGCTCAAAAATGTATTCGTTTTCTATTTTGAGTTCCCTCGTTAATGGGCAATGTGTTGCAGGATCTACCTTCTACAATTGATGTTTCTTAGAGTACTCAGTCCACCTTACAGGACTGTTCTTCCCCTGAACTTTGTACACCTCAAACAATATTATCGATCATCTTGAAGTTATTCGTAATACCATCATTTATAAACGGCACATGCTTTACGCCCTTTTGAATTTCTGGCGTTACAGTTGCTTAAATTTTGAAATTCATACAATGCAGTATATGCCAAGGTTTCAAGCAGAGAATTTGGAGCACAACAAGAACTTGTACGAGCGGGTCAATGCTATTGCTTCAAGGAAGGGTTGTACTCCATCACAGCTAGCGTTGGCCTGGGTCCATCACCAAGGCAATGATGTTTGCCCCATACCTGGCACTACCAAGATTGAGAACCTCGATCAGAATATAGGAGCTTTGTGTGTAAAACTGTCTGCAGAGGAAATGGCAGAACTTGAATCTATTGCTTCATCTATCAAGGGTGAGAGATATGCGTCTGACGCTGGCACTTGGAAAACTTCTGAAACTCCACCTTTGTCAACCTGGAAGTGCACATGAAGAAGAGCAAGTTCACTTTGATATTAAGTGGACTTACTGTTCTGGTTTTGGCTTGGAAGAGCACATGAAGTGCAAGTTTGGTTTGGTACTTCGTTGGAAGACCACAAAGTGCACAAGTTTGGTTTGATACTTTGTGGACTTTTGTTTTAGTTTAGCTTTTCTTGTGGAATAATCATCAGGTACAACATGTTATGTCCTGAGTTCCGGAGCAATCATGAGGTACAACAGTATTATGTCCTGGTTTCTGAATGTAATAAAATCCTAGCGCGTAGAGTTGGCACAAATTAACTTTTGTGCAAAATTGCTTATTAGGTTTCGCTGTGCAGCTATTTGAACTTATCGGGGATGATTTCACCATAGAGATGTAATGCAGTTGTATTTTGAACATATAATTTAATTTGACGTTTGTATGTTGATTTCCTATTTTCTACTTTTATTATGATACTTGCTGTTTGAGAGAGGTCATTTCAGTCGGGCTTCACTGAGCCGAGCTCCCCCTTCTCTGAATAAAACTCTGTTAATCCTCACCTTGGCCTCCTTGTACCGAGATGAGGATTACACACCTAAGGTTGAACCACCCGTTCCTATTACTCCGGCTACCGCGGTCACCACCCTAAAGTTTCATTGTGTCTGATGGAACGGGCGAAGTCAGGTCACAGACTGACACCTACAGGGACAGGACGTCTGATAAGACCTGTCCTCGACACCGACCTGTCAGGATAGACTGACATGCTCAGTCTGTTAGGTTCTAGGAAGTTGAATCCTACTGTCATTCCCTTCCAATTGTCTCTTATAAATACAGAGATTTCACTCAAAAAAGCACGCGAGAAAAAAATACACTCTGTAAGAACTACTTTAAAGAAAAATTTCACTACTTTCCATTCCAAAAAGAAGACTAACTAGATCGTTGGAGGAAAATTGGGGGATTCAGCCCCATCTCTAATAATTTGAGCATGTGACTTCCGCAAGACAGTACCCACTTCAGGAGGTCACTCCCGCACTTGGATACAACTTGTCAACTCCAAAAATTATCTCTTCAATTGGCGCCGTCTGTGGAAACCGCAAAGACATCCAAGAATGAAACCTACACGTTCTAGGAGCAGGAAGGTTCTCACCATTGAGGCTGAGCCAAGTGCTGCAGCCCAACCGGAAAATGTTTCCGAAGAACAGGAGTCTCATGAGGCTCGGCCCACGAATGGAGAAGCCATGGCCCGAATGGCAAAGTTTGTGGCTGAGAATCCTAATATTTTCAAAGAGTTAAGAAGATATTTCAAAAGACAAGGTAAACAAAAATCCGAATTTTCTAAGAGAAAGCCAGATGAATCTTCCGAGGTCCCATCCGAGGAAGAATCGGATGGAAGACATTCTAACAGGAGCACCCCGAACGGGCCTCATCCAAGGCTATTTCGAGAATTGCCTCCATTTCTAGGGCAATCTTACGGGGTTTCCTGGGGAAACAAGTCGAAGACGAACCTCGCGATCGAAAAGGTTGGAGGTGGATTACATGAGAGCTCCGCCTTTCACGGATAGCATTAATGAAGAGAGGGTCCCTCCCAAACTTTAAACTCCCAACGTTGCTACCTTATGATGGCCGAGGTGATCCTGAGAATCATCTCCATGCTTTTATCTCAGCTTTTCGATTATACTGTGTCTCTGACTCAGTTATTTGTCGAATTTTTCCGGTCTTCCTTCAAGAGACTGCTCGAAAATGGTTCTGCGGTCTAGAATCTAGGAGCATATTCTCCCTAGGAGAGCTGGTGAATAAATTTATCCATCGGTTTATATCTTCCAGGCCAACGACAAAGACCTCGGCCTATCTGCTAAATATACAGCAGAATTTGGGGCAGTCTCTCCGTTCTTATGTACAAAGATTTCAAGATAAGAGCGTGCAGATACCTGATCCTAATGAAAAGGTAATCATAGCCGTCTTTACAAATGGGTTTATTGTCGGAGAGTTGAACACCGAAGTGCACAAAAAATACCTTCGAACACTTCGGGAATTGTGGCAAAAGGTCGAGAAAGGCATACAGTCTGAGGACTTGAACCGCATAAACAGAGAAGCCCAAATAGCTCGATCAGGGCCTGATTCCCGAAAGAAGAAGGAATCAAGTCGAGGTGACCCTGGCACTACTGGCGGTTTTCAGAGTCTCAACCAAGATCGCTGAAGCGTCTTTGACAGAATTGCCAAGGGAAAGTCGTTTGTCCCTGATTCCGACCTAACACCCTTAAATACCAATCGATCTTATATCCTTGCTCTCATGAAGCAGAATCACCTCGGACGTGCTCCCCCAAGAATGGCCGGAAAAAGAGAAAAGAGAAACTCCAACCTCTATTGTGCTTATCATCGAGGTATTGGACACGAAACCGAGGATTGTAGCGATTTGAAGAAAGACATTGAGAATTTAATAAAGCAAGGGTATCTGAAACAGTTTGTTCGCAGAGATGGAGACCACAACAGAAGTGACTCCCGCCGCGACAACCGAGGTGAGCAACGCCTGGAGGATAGGCAGAGACCACGTAGTAGTTGCCGATCCCTGAGGATCCTAGGAAGACGAGAAGGACTCTCCAAGGTGGGTCCTCCGATTATGGGCCGAACATAGTCGGGATTGTCAACACCATAGCTAGAGGCCCTATGGGAAGGGATAGTTAAAACTCCCGAAAAAGAACCTATAAACAGGCTAATCCAGAACAGGTCGAGAGCAGCTCCCGTCTTACTGAGACAATCACGTATGGCCCAAGTGACCCCGTCCCAACTGCTTCCAGTAGTCACGAGGCCTTGGTGATAGAGTTGCTCACCAACAATTATATAGTGAAGAAAGTGTATGTCAACCCCAGTAGTTCGATAGATGTCATGTATTACCGAACCTTCAAAATCTTGATATTAACCAGGGATCAGCTCATATCTGTAAAGACCCCTTTAGTAGGGTTCAGGAGACACGTGGTCCACCCGCAAGGAATGGTTACGTTTATGGTGACCATTGGGTGCCACCCTCGATGCCGAACCATTTCTGTCAATTTTGTTGCAGTCAAAGCTGATTCCCCATATAATTTACTTATGGGTCGACCCACCTTGAATGCGCTACAGGCTGCGTATTCAACCTACCACTTAAGTTTTAAATTTTCAACTCTCACAGGCATCGTCGAGGTAAGCAGCGATGTCTGTGTAGCAAGAGAATGCTATTTTGCTACCCTGCAGGCCGCCTTTTCTTCAACGGCCGAGCCGAAAATTGAGGGTAGGAGGTCTAATATTCTCTCGATAGACTGTATAGATCCTCAACAGTTCGGGAAGCCTAAAAAGCTAGAGACCAAATATGAGGTAGAAAAAATTCCTCTGAATCCTTCGAACCCGGATCAAACCATCCGCGTTGGCACCAGCCTATCTGAGCCTCTCAAAGGCGAGCTAACCTTCTCAAAGAATACCAGAACGTCTTCGCCTGGATTGCTGAACAAGTTGTGGGGGTACCCCATCAACTTATGCTGTATGAACTGAACGTCGACCCGCGTGCACGACCAGTTAAGCAGAAGAGGAGGCACTTCGGCCTGGAACGCAATAAAACCGTAGCCGAGGAGACGAACAAGCTCTTACCGGCGCGGATGATTAAAGAGGTGCAATGTTCCATCTGGCTGTCCAACCCTGTTATGGTCAAGAATGACACCGGGGGTGGAGGATGTGCTTAGATTTTACTAATTTGAACAAGGCCTGCCCTAAGGATTGCTACCTACTGTCGAGAATTGACGCTTTGGTCAACTGGATATTGGGTTACGAGATCCTCTACTTCCTTGATGCCTTTAAAGACTATCATCAGATAGGAATGAATGAAGAGTACCAAGAAAAAGCGGCCTTCTTCACAGATCAGGAAATCTACTGTTACACCACCATGCCCTTCGGCTTGAAGAACACCCGGGCGACGTATCAGCGACTGGTTAACTGGATTTTTAAATCTCAAATAGGTAGGAATGTTGAAGCGTATGTGGACGATATCCTCCTGAAAAGCAAGGAGACCTCGGCTTTCTTATCCGACGTGAGGGAGGTCCTTAGGGTCCTCCGCAACACTCGAATGATGTTCAATCCCAAGAAGTGCGTGTTTGGCGCGATTTCGAGAAATTCTTGGGATACCTTGCATCACGCCGAGGTATAGAAGCTAATCCTGATAAAGTGAAGGCCATTCAAAAAATGTCTTCACCTCGAAATTCCCGAGATGTACAAAGACTAACAGGTCGGCTGGCAGCTCTGAACCGGTTCTTGTCCCTGTTTGCTACAAGGCATTGCCCTTCTTCAAAGCATTGAAGAAGACTGACAAGTTCTCTTAGACCGAGAAGTGCCAGTAGGCCTTTGAGCAAATGAAGGAGCACCTGCACCACCTTCCCACTCTTAATTCACCACGCCCAGGAGAGAGTTATATCTTTACCTGTCTGCTGCTGAGGAGGCTGTGAGCACGGTGCTAATACAAGATAATAGTGCCCAAGTGCCGGTTTACTATGTTAGCTGAGTTCTCCGCGGGCCGAAGACTCGATACATCCGTGTAGAGAAACTCATATTAGGTTTGGTTCATATAGCTCACAGGTTAAAACCTAATTTCTTAACTCACCCCATACGTTTGAGAACAGATCAGCCCATTAGGCAAATCCTGTCGCGTCCCGAGACTTTCGGACGTCTCACCAAGTGGGCCATAGAGCGAGGGGAATACGATCTAACCTATGAACCTCGGACTGCCATCAAGGCTCAAGCTCTGGTAGATTTCTTGGCCGAACTCACATTTCCCGTGAGCCAAGAAGCCACTCCGGATGACGCCGAATCGCAAAAGTGGACTTGTACGTGAACGAGTCATCTAACAGTGATGGTAGTGGAGATGGACTGCTCCTCGAAGACCCTCACGGGGAGGCATGCTCATATGCCATCTGATTCGATTTCACCGCCTCTAACAATGAAGCTGAGTACGAGACTGTCATCGCGGACTTACAATTAGTTCGCAGACTTGGTGCTCAACGTATTTCAGTCTATAGCGACTCCCAACTCGTCATATGTCAAGTACTAGGGGAGTATGAAACTAGAGAGGAAACCATGCAATGGTATCTCTCCAAAATTCACCAGTTAGCGGCCTACTTCAAATCCTTTGAAATCCAAAGGATACCTCGGTTCTAGAATAGGCGAGCAGATGCCCTATCCAGGTTGGCCCCCACCTTGTTATCTGCGCTCAACCAGACTGTTCTCGTGGAGGTCTTAACCGAACCGGATTACCTAGAGGATAAGGTCTACCCTATAAGTTCAGAAGACACCTGGATGAGTCCTCTAATCAGATTCTTAGGTCAGGGTGTCCTTCCGAACGATAAGGCAGAAACGAGAAAAATTCAGCGCAAGGTGGTCCGATATGCACTCCGCGACGGCAACCTGTACAAACGATCCTATCTCGACCCATGGGTGCGGTGTGTTACCGTAGAGCAAGGGCAAAATGCCTTCCAGGATATACATGAAGGATTGTGTGACGCTCACGTCGACTATCGGATGTTGGTTAAGAAGACTTTGCTCCTTGGATATTTTTAGCCAACCATTCGGCGATATGCCCAATTTAGTCCTTTGCTGTCCCTCCTGCCAGCACCATGCCTAGGAGCACCACCAGCCAACTAGTCTCATGGTCCCCATCACATCATTATGGCCTTTTGAGCAATGAGAGACAGATATTATTGGACGCTTCTCGAGCCGTTGACAATTATGCTTATGTGGTGGCGGCTGTTGATTATTTCACGAAATGGGTTATGGCCTGACCATCCAGAAATTCTTTTGGAAGTGTGTAGTTTGTCGCTTTGGTTTGCCTCGGATAATCATCTCTGACAACGGGAAGCAGTTTGCGGATAACCCTTTCAAGGCATGGTACGAAAATCTTGGGATCAAACAACACTTTACCTCGGTGGGCCACCCCCAAGCCAACGGTTGGGTCGAGAATTTTAATCGAACACTTCTCCACAACCTCAAAACTAGGCTACATCAGCTCGGATCTTTCTGGGTTGACGAACTCCTGAGCATGCTGTGGTCTTATCGAACCACGCCAAGATCCGCTATTTAGGAAACTCCATTTTCCTTAACTTATGGGTCCAAGGCAGTGGTTCCTGCCGAATTTCTCACTCCAAGTTCTCGAATGGCGGCTTTCACTGTCGTGGCTAATGGAGAAGAGCGAAAAATGAATCTCGACCTCGCTAAGGAGAAGCGAGATGCCGCAGCAGCTCGAGTTGCCTTGTACAAGAATATACTGACTAGCTACTATAATGTCCGTGTTAGATATCTTCGGTTCAGCCCAAGAGACCTTGTCCTGCGAAAGAACTTAGTCAGCCAATCTGAATCCCAAGGCAAGTTGTCTCCGAGGTGAGAGGAGCCGTATCGCATAATTGAGGTTAGTCAGAATGGGTATTGTAAGTTGACTTACCGAGATGGTACTTTAGTATTCAGAACTTGGCATGCTGAGAATTTCAAATTGTATTATCCATAAATCATTTACATTCCACTCAAGATTACTTGTAGTATGTCTTTTATTTATTTAATTACTTTTCTAGCATCACTATCTCGTGTTGTTAAAGAAAATAAGGGGACAAGACAAGTAGAAATGGAATAAGTGACTGACAATGAAGTAAAACAAGTCATTGATATTAAATGAGGTAGTTACAAAAATTGTGAAGTACAAAATGCCGAGACCAAAGGCTCTTCTAAGAGCCCCTGCCTCGGCTGAGCCCTCACCCTCCCCCGCACTGGCCTCTTCTTCAGCAACCTTGTCGGGCCCATCACCCTCAGGTGTCAGCTCGAACTCTGCCATTTCATAATTGAGCTCCTCTCGGACCTCAGTTAGGTTTTTCTCCGCCTGGATGCCCTCAGCCATGCGATCGGAAAGCTCTTTAGCATCATCATTGTAGCTGGCCTTGTTTTTGAAGGAGTCCATCTATTCTAAGGTGAGAAAGGGGGCTACGTCTTGGATAGCCGATGTATAACCAAACATGAAACTCAGCAGAGTCAACTCGCCGAACTCATGAGTGAAGGCCTTGGAAGAGCAAAAGGCCTCTACTACCGAGCTGCCAGTCTTCTTAATGGCCTCCCTTGAAGACTGCTCCTTTTCAAGTCATCGCTTCTTCTCCTTTTCTAAAGCAGTCTTCAAGGAGTTCATGGTGGTCTCGGACTGCTCCATCTCGGCCACCATGGTATCACGCTGCTTGAGGAATTGGGCGACGCCATACTGGGGGAAACTAGGATTGTTAAGAAGGGACTTGTAGGTTTAAACTTTCGGGCGCGGCTTACAAGCGCTTGGGCCTCTCACCCTTCTCTTCCTCAGCCAACTTCAGTTTCTTCTCCAGGAGGGAGATCTTATCCAGGAGCTCGGCTGAGAGCTGATTTTCGACCATGTTGATGTGTCTTTGCATCAACTCGGAGAGAAAGGCCGAGGTAGAGGCCCACGCCACTGAAGTGCTTTGCATTTCGTCAGTAGTGAGCTTATTGGCGTAGGAGTGGTCTCTTGGCAAGTTGGAGTGGACCAAAAGATGGTGGGCCACTCTAGGGTCCTTGCAGCGGTCGTTGATGCTCACATCCCACTCTGGACATCAGTGCTAGTCGGGGTGCTTCTTGTCCTCTCCGACAGATTGCGACTGCACGTAGTGTCGGTTCTAAAGAGATGACCTCGTGATCGGAGTCTCGGTCGTTTGAAGTTGCTTGCCCCGGCCGAAGGTGGAGCAGTCACGGTCACACCTCGGGTGGCCACTCCTTCTGAAATGGCCGAAACTCGGGAGGTGTTCTCGAGGACGACCGTTAGCAGGGTGCTGGCCGAGGCACTAGGAGTGTCCTTCTTCTTCTTCTGTATTCTTGAGGTCTCACTAAGAGCCTTTCATTTTTATTGCTTCTTGGCCACTACGGCTGTGCCTGAGGTGATCAGATCTGACACTCTCACAACTGTATAAGAAGAAGATATTACTACTTAGAATCAATGGAAAAAAGAACAAAACAAGACAATGAATTGAAAAATATAATATTTTTCAAGCCGAGTAAAGAAGTAAGGAGGGCGATCCGGGCTGATTAAAACTTGACTTATCCCGCCGTTTACAAAGACCACCTCAGGATAATTCTAACTGTTGATCTTGAGACCCGACCCGAGGAGTTTACAAAAGTTCTCCTCTTTATGTTGACCCAGGAAAGGATCTTTAGCCGAAGTAGAGGCCTTCACCAAAATCCCCGGGGGAACTTCTCGGCAGGGACGAAAATGAAATTGCGCTTCCACTCTTTTATTGATGAAGGAGCGTCCACCATTAATTTTCAGACGTTCTTGTTTCGGTTCTCGAAATAGAACCATCCTTTCTCGTTTCCATTATTCTTGATGGTGTAGTAACGGCGAAAAAGGTTCACTATGGGATTCAGGCCTTGCTCTCGGTAGAGCATCTCGAATCCGATGAGTATCCGAACTACGTTCGGGACCAATTGAGCGTTCTTGATGCCCCAGTACCTTAGGCTATTTCAGAAGA